ATATATATATATATATATATATATATATATATATATATATATATATATATATATATATATATATATATATATAGTTGTCTATGACGTAATAGATTCACTTTGCATATTTCCTTTTAAGTAATTGCTCATTACATGCTAGTTAGAGCGGTATTTATGGATGCGGATGGTGTGAAGAAATACGCGAAGAGGTACGCATCTGATTTTCAGTTGTGAGGTTCTTTCCCATGGTCATCAACTCGAATCAAGTGTACTGCGTGTTTTGTCAGTGTTCGTATTATGCCTGCAATTTATATTTACGACGAGGTTTTAGTTAGTCGTACTTTTGTGAAATAATAAACTAGCTTTACTGGTACATATATACTTTTAATATTATTCCAAACAAAATGATGTTGCAAAAACAATGTTGCCTAATCTGGTGTGTATATTTATACCGTGTCGGATTTACCTTGTATCAAACCATGTCTGTCTTTTACCTCCATGATCAAACCAACCATCTTGTAATTCTCCATAACATAAAAAAAAAAAATCATCGTAGACCTTCTTTTAATGGCAATGTGTTTTTTTCTGGATCATACGAATACAATACGCTGGATGCCAAAAGCATACAACTTAAAGCATATTCTTATTTAAGTGCACATGAACATAAACATCCAAACTCTCCCAGAAAGTCGAAAAATAGAACCAATGATGCGAGTGGCACATGTTCACTATGAAAAACTGCCCCTCCCACTTTAGCACCTCAGTGAAATATGGTAGTGACAAATAATCCGTAAGGTAAACTTTATTTGCTATCAACAGACTGAACCATCAACTTATCATGGAACCGTAATGCCAGTACAGAACAAACATTTGTACAAATTAGCAAGAACTGCATATTGGCAGCAAGATTATTCGTATTTATAGCCTCAATCTGACAATTCGAATTCGAATATAAAGCGAGAAGAAACGATATATTAAACAACGACTGTGATTGGTCAAATTTAAAATGCTGCAGAAATATAACGGATATATTTAAAACTTGGTTTCGCTCAAGTTCACACTATGACATCATAAAACTAACGAAATACAGTGTTCAACTAAAACACGCGATAAATAAATCACAACTAAGTCTACAACGTATTGACTATAATCACCACGAAGGCTGTTAGTAAAACCGATCCCTCAACGACGAGACTTCGAGACGTATTATCTTCGATGAAACCATTATCGGCTATGATGTCGGCGTACAATTTAGCCGAATCTTTGACTTCGCGAGGACGATCATCGTCGGAAAAATCCACGTAATGCATGCCGAACCGTTCGCTGTAACCAGCTGCCCATTCAAAGTTATCCAACAACGACCAAGCGGTGTAACCTTTACAGTTGGCGCCATCGAGCTTTATAGCTGGAATAAAATAAATAAACGAAATATTAAATCATTGATCAACACAATGATAGCATTATCCAGTTATCTATTTTTTATTTACTGCCAGAAATGTTCAAGATCCAGACGATAACGTTTACTGCAGTTTAAGGTATCATAAATTCATGTCAAAATAACGAGTGCGGTACTAAAAATGTGTCGCTTAGATCAAACATGGAACAAATTCTGCGAGCCTTTCCTAGCCAAAAAGTCATTTCCTAACATTGTTTTATAATTCTTACATGTAGTTTGGTAGGCTGATTTTCTTGGCCACTAATAAAATAATGTTTCATTTCAATGTACATAAATCCTCAATGAAAGCCGCAGATTCAAATAGACCATTACCTCATTGAGCTTATAAGAAAAAAACATATTAAATTAAAAATCAAATCGTATGATCTTAGTGACAGACGTTTGGTCCGCGCCGTTCACGCAATATGCGAGATCTCGAGGTAAACAGAAAATCAACTATTTTCACAGGATATTATACTGCAAGCTAAACAGTATTAGCAACGGATAGTTCAATGAAAGCGCTAGATCTTATGTAAACGTAAAGCGAAATAAATATAATCTGCGAAATAGTGTTATTCACTGCTGTCATTAATAAAATCAAACAGCCTGAGTGACTGCCGTATATACTTACTAATTAACATGAAGTTATTATTGTGGCACAGAGAGAGGGTATTCTATCTTTAATTTGACGGAGAATAAAAATAATCATGTATTTGAAAATTCGTTTAAAGGGCGGTAGTCGTCGAGCCACGCATTCGTGAGATATATGGGTCTCCTATAAACAAAGATGGCGACTTTTACTGTTGCGCAGATTAACGAGTACAAACTGAGACGCTACCAAGCTTTAATTAGGTAATTTTTAGGTGATTGGAAAGTATTGAAGGAGTCACTGGCGGTAAATAGTGCAAGTCCCACACACAACCGAGCATGGTTCAGTTATTTGTGTTTCGAAATGAACTCACAAATTACATAACTTGAAGTCTTTTTGTGCGTAGTGCCATAATTGATACATGCAGATTTTGTTGCTCACAAAATGCACTTTTGTGCTCAAATAATGTAACGTACGTACTATCATTTCACCACGCATGCGCATGTTTTATCAAATAATACTATTTTTAATTTTCCGTAAAATATACAAAAATAATAAAAGACATAGAGTGTGCATATTGTCAAGGAGTAATACCGATTATCTGTTTTCATTCAAATACATAATAATGATTGGCTCGAGAGATACATATTGTCTACGCCCAAGACTTTAAGTGACGGAGCGACTGCCACCGCCCATTATTCGAAATGAAGGGCTTGCTGGTTGGATGATTTTGAATATTAATATTAAATTACTAACTTGCGATGATATGGTCATGTTGTTCCTTGATTGGTCAATTTAAATGCTACCAGTCATTTTGATTTTTAAAAAAATATATATATTTATACAACGTTTATAACATCCTTCCACTTTAATTAATGCAAATAACTAACAAATCTTAAGAATATATTCAAAACTTTTAGAACCTACCTTTGAGAACTTCATTGATGTACGATTTGTAATATTTCATTCTTTCTTCGTCACTTAAATCGTACACGTCATGTGTGGAAACCCCATTTTCTGTGACGTAAGAATCGATTCCATCATACTCGTTGTGTATCCATACTAGAATTTGACGAATACCCCACGGAACCGGTTTCAACCAGCTAGATGCAGACTGTGGCCAACTCTCCTCTTTCCACGACGGCACATTCACATCAGACCCCCAGTAGCCCGGCAACTCGTAGTTTTCATTCGTTGGATTGACCACGTAATTGGTACTGTAATGATTGAGTCCGAAAAAATCCCCCGTGTGGTTAATAAAGACCTTTTCTTCTTCCGTGAACTCCGGTAATCTCGACTGCGGTAATCCCTGGCCGGCACTAATCTCGGCAATTTTCGTTTTCATAATTTCTGGATAATCCCCATTCTTGTAGATAGGATGACCAAACCAACCAAGCGAAAATTGCATTGCTCTTTCAGAAGCGAAAATATGTTTGTAGTTCTTTCTATCGTGTGGCTCTGACCAGTCCGAGTTCAAGGTGATGCCGATTACGCCTTTTTGCACGCTACGAAATTGATCGTCGTAGGTGTGCCAAGCTTCTGCGTGTGATTTGATAAGATTGTGGCCAACGACGTACGGTATGGTCCCGGGTTCGTTTATTCCTGGCGCAAACACGCCGCTCTCGTAGCCCAATAAAGCCACGATCCATGGTTCGTTAAAAGTTATCCAAAACTTCACACGGTCACCGAATCGTTCAAAACAGAGCTTGGCATAATCGTTGAAATCGTTGATAATAGATTCGTTCATCCATCCGCCGTAGTCGTCATGTAGCCCCTGTGGAAGATCCCAATGGTACAGCGTAACCATTGGATCTATACCGTTATCGAGTAGTTCATCGATCACGTTATTATAGTAAGCAATACCGTCCTCGTTGACGCTGTCGATTTTCCCAGTCGGTAACACGCGTGACCAGGCTATGGAAAAACGGTAATTCTTAAGACCGAGATTGGCCATCAAAGCGATATCTTCTTTGTATTTGTGGTAGCTGTCACAGGCGACGTCGCCGGTGTGGTTTTCATAAACATGCCCACCTTCGTGACAGAAAGTGTCCCATATACTAGGCCCTTTGCCGTCTTCGTTCCAGGCTCCCTCAATCTGGTAGGACGATGTCGCGGAGCTCCATTTGAAATCGTCAGGGAAGGTATCATAATACAACGCATCCCTGTCTTCGTCGTTAAAGACGTCATACACGTACTCTGCGCTGTAGCAGGAGCCGAAATAAAGCGACAATGCAAAGTACGTCAATACACATGCCACAGCAGTCATTTTGCAGGCCATTTTGCCGGTTAGGACACTAAAACAATGGCGCAGTTATGCATTAACATGTCTCAACATCTCGGCAAGTCCTTGGTGGGTAATTTACACACCCTGCAAGTAGGACGCTGATAAAGTCACCTTCACCAAATCACCAGGTCATTTATATATTGGGGTGGCGTGAGGTGAAGTAGGCATCTTAATGATTCTTTAGAACATTCTAGCTCCACGATGTTACAAAAACGACGTTATCTAAGAACCAAGTGCACCACCACACGTGTTATCAATTAATCAGAAAATATAGTAAAAATAACAAAATAAGCTTTCCAACAAATGTACTATTGCGTTCTGAATAAATTAAACATATGTATTGCCACGCCCCTTACTGGATGTTGACTGTTCTAAAAACGTGACAATGGCCCAGCTGTAGACGTTTGCTTTGTTACAGATATATTTTTTCTAAAAGTTTTCGAAGTTGACAATATTGAAATGGTTACCATAGCAACACCACATCATATACATTTCGCTGAGATAAATACCGGTATATGGCTCTCATTACCCTATAAACAATTTTATTATAAATGTAAATTATACTCATTCGAACATCAACAAATCTGATATAAACGTAATTATTTCATTGTTAAAAGGCAGTGATTTTTTGCGCTTTGATTTAAGTGTAAAAACACATTTTATTGTATATATACTTTGTCACGTACACGTCGCATTGGGCTCATATCGAACACAATGCTCTGTGCTTCAATGACATTATTACAATCGGGGATACAAGACAAAAGATCAATAACTTATATTTCGAAGTGGTGTGACGTTTTTGTGAGAATGTCGCCATAAAAATGTTGGATTTGTCAGCCTGAAAAAAACTGCAAACCCAGCAACATACCTGGTGCTTCTCGACTAATCTCGACCTAAATATTGAACTTTAATTATACTAAATGTTCTATTTTCGAGTCTTTTTCTCAAGTCAAATCCCTTTGTTCTTTTTAAGAACTGTTTTTAGACTTTTAAAAAGCCCTTGTTTTCATCGAATTGACTGGGACATTTATAAAAAAACAATCACGTGACATCAAATATATAATTTTACTGTGCTAAGAAAAAAAACACAGTATTTGAGTCGGAAATTCCAAAACAGCCAATCTGACAGATACACAGTAACGATGCTTACTGGGATATCTGGGATCTGATGTCGGTCATTGGCTTTTGAGATATTTTGAGTTGAATCATGAAATTCATACACAGGTTATTATACAAATCCTTCGCATAAGAACCACTTGCCTTAATTTGATATGCAAACTGTACTAGAAAACTGACCACAAATTTCAAAAGGTCATTGTTCTCGCAGACGTATACTGCATACATGTCTTGCGTAACCAATGTTCTAGCAACTTTTATACATATTCCATTTGAAAATAGGGCCATAGCTTCTTTATCATCACAAATTTCGTACACAATAGTTTACAGGATTCACTAACCTTTGACTAACTGGAGGCCTTCAAAAGAAAGAGAATTTCTGCGAGTTATATATTTATAGGTGGCTTGACGTGGTGGGTTTTATGTCCGATGAAGTCTTTCGGAGTATTTTGGGATTTAAAGTCCTCCCCACGATAAAATATCGAGACGCTTTATTTCAGGTAGGACTTTACTTTCTATAAGGAAGGCTTTACCCTGTACTTTGCAATGTCATTCACCAAAAGACCAGGTCATATATAGGGGGTGGGGTTGGGTATAAGTGTAAATATTGAATATTTATTTAATGGAACTAGAATACAATATTTACACTACACATATTTATAGTCACACAATATATTATTGATAAGCCTTATTTAAAAAATGAAAAGATAAGTATCTAGACATGAAGACAATATTTTGGCTGGAAATGGGCCAAGAACACATGAAAAAGGTCGCATTACGAACAAATTGGTAGGTTACAATAATACACATACTGAGATTTCATTTGTAAATTCATTTGTAAAACATGTAAATTATAATAATATATAAACGTATGTTTTGTCACACCCTTACTGGATTTTGAATATTCGAAAAAAAACACACACTTGACAATTAGATTTACGGAAGTTAGTCTGTTTACAATTGTAGGTGAGACGCAGCCAAAGTTGGCAATATTTAAATGGTAACCATAGAAACACCACCACATATATTTTGTTCAGATAAACATGCGATTCTTAATATATCACAGACTACAATATACGTTTTTATAAAATGTAAATTATATTTATTTCATATGTTTTCAATTGTATTTTATATTGCATATACGTTGTATATCGCATTGGTCCATATCGAACACAGCGCGTTAAAGCTCTGTGAGTATGCCAATGAGATTCATTACAATCGAGAGTACACTAC